CTCCGCACGCACGCTCCCCGCTGCGCGGCCAGCCCGTGGCCCCGGCGCTGCCTCCTCCACGCCGCCGCGCCCCTGCGGGGACGTGACCACAGCTCGTCGCCTGTCCGCCCTCCCGGCCGCGGAGCTGTCCGGTGAGTGGGGACACCTGGGAGGGGGCCAGGGAAACATTTAGCAGGACCGGAGGGAGCCTCGCCGCTCCGCGTGGCCTCGGGCGGTGTGGAGGAGACGGGGCTCGGAGTAACGGGCTGAGGCTCGCCCGGGCTCAGCGGCTGCGCGGGGCCGAGCTGCGGGCCGTGCCGGGACTGTACCTGCCCTAGGTGGTGCTGCCTTTTTTCCCTGTGTCCTCCCACCCCTCAGCCCAGGGGCTGCAGCCTTCCGTCATCGCTGTCGGGCGAGAAGCCGCGGAGAGCTGGCGGTGGGTAAGGGAATTGTGAAGCTTCTTGCTTGTTCAGCCTCTGGCCCCGCTTCTGTAGCGTGGCTGTAAGGACACCTTGTAGCCAGACAGCTGTTGTCTGAGTGTACGGCTCCCTCTGGCTCACCAAACTTACCTGAGAGCTCCCCGTGGAACTGCAGCTCTGGAAATGCACATGTAGTGTATCTGCACTGAACTGATGCTATGGGGGTTATAGAAATAGAAGTTTCCTTCTAAAAATAGATAAATAGAGAACACATAGTTGTCTTGATTTAATTAGGGTCAAACTTAGATGCCAACAGTGCTGTCAGTTTACTGAAACGAAAGTGATTAAAAGTGCTGTTTATTGGGAGAAACACTGTATGACTTGGCAAGAGCATAACCCAGAATATTTGTTTTAGCCATGGAGGCTCCCTATGATGGCACTGAGGTAACTGTGGTGATGGAGGAGATAGAGAGCACTTACACGTATTCGTCACCAGTGCCATGCAAGAAGAAGAAGAAGAAACATAAAAGTGCTGGTGATCACGGAGAAAAAGCCAAGAAGCCTCGGTAAGTTCTTTCTGTCTTCGTTTAGTTCCTCTGTAGGGTGTGGGAGCAGTTTTCCTTGTTTCTGACATGAGTGGACTTTGCAGTGCACTTGGAACACTTCATAGTGTAAAACATCATATATGAAACATCAGCTTGATACTTTGGGCCTGCTCAGACATTCTTCACAGGTGCCACTGTTGTTCAGTTTACAGTTTGTTTGCCCCAGAATAATTTGTCTTAGGCTGTTCCTCAGAGGTTCTCTTTTTTTTCTTCAGAGGTTCTCCTCAGAGAGAGAGTTTTCATTTGGTTAAAAAATGCATTAATAAATAGAATTAAACGTAACTTGCTTGTCACATGACCTTGAGACAAACCTAAACCATGTGGTTTTATTTTTTCCCCAAGGAATTTATGTAGAATAACTTTAATGTTTCAATTTCTGGTTGTGTTTCAGATCTGCTTATCTTCTCTATTATTATGATATTTATTTGAAAGTACAGCAAGAGCTTCCACACCTCCCTCAATCTGAAATCAACAAAAAGATCAGTGAGAGCTGGAGGTTGCTTAGTGTGGCTGAAAAGAGTTACTACTTGGAGAAAGCCAAGCTAGAGAAAGAGGGACTGGACCCGGTAAGTTGTCTTTATCGAAGTTCTTTGGCTGCTGAAGAGAGAGGCAGTTACCTGTGTACATAAAACTCTGTGGAAGAGTTATTTAACTGCAGATTCCAGTTTGTATCCTTGCTCAGGGCAGCCTTTAAAGAAGCAGTGTGAGGCCACTGCCTTTTTTCATTGCCTTCTGTTCAGCTGAAGGAGGATGTTTTGTAATCCAAGATGGATATGTCTGGTACCTGCTCACAGCAGTTATTTTTGTGTCCTTTCATCTGAGTGAGTGTTGGTAAAGTGGGTGATAAAACCTGGACTGAGAGGGTTTCTGCAGGTCCTGTCATGTGGAGAAATTCCCAGCAAACTAATTCAGGAAACCATTTGAACCTCAGGCACTAAAATAGCGGGATTGAGAACTGAATCTCTTCCTTTTCTCATAATCATTTATTCCATCCTCTGCTTTTGCCCATAGAACTCCAAGGCATCCACTCGAACTGCAGTCGTCCCTGACATTCCAGGCTTTCGTAAGATTCTTCCTCGCTCCGATTATATAATTATTCCCAAAACCACTCTGCAAGAAGACAGGAGCAGGCAGTCTCTGGAGCTGTGTGTGACACAGAGCCCGGCAGCATCCGAAGGCTTGGTGGCTCCCAGGAGCGACACCGGCGTGTCCCGTGACACCGTGCAGAGCATCCTTTCCGTGGAGTCGGGCCAGGCTGGTGTCTCAGAGCAGTGCATTGCCATCGAGGGGCTGGCAGAGGACACGGCAGCCTTTGCCCAGCCCAAGGCTGCGGAAGAAGTGGTTGCCTCAGAGGTTCTCTCTCATTATGTTGGGCCTGTGACAGAGAAAGTGGCTGGAGATATCCTCTTGGATGAGACTTCTTTGGAAATAGAAGGACAGCCGTACCACACAGCCCGAGTGGTGATTGAGGAGACTATGGTGAGCAGCTCCACAGACATCTCCAACGGGAGCATCGCTGTGGCCCGTCCCCAGGTGCCCAATGGGGTGTCCGTGGTGACCGTGGTGACTGGAAGGGTAAGTTTTTCCACTGACACCCAAACTCCTGCAAGATCTCACCCGAAACATCTGAGTGTTGTTTCCCCCATTTTACTTGAAATCCTCAGTGGGTGCAGTAGATCCTCTGATTGCCCAATTTGCTGAATCTAAATGCTGAGAGAAATGGAGACTTTTATAATCAATGATACAAAAGTAACACTGTGACTAAGTTGTCTCTGCTTGCAGATTGACTCAGCCATCTGCTGATATGAATTGTGTCTTAACACAACTGAGTTCTTTTAATTGGTATAACAATATTTGGGGTATTGCAGTGCCAGTAATTGGGTTCTGCAGTTGCACTGCAAGATTTTGGTGAGAAAAAAATGCCACTGCTCTACTCCTGATAGCTGTTGTCCTGGTTGCAGAGAGGTAGGAGGGAGTCCTTTTTAACTGAGGTTTTAGGGCTCAGTCGTAGAAAACCTAAGTGTGAAGAGTTTTCACACTGTTTTCTGTTTCAAAGTGTGAGGAGTTTGGTAATTTCCAGAGTACATCTGGTAAGGCCATTGCTATTGAAACAGTTGCTGCTCTGTCCTGTATTCTGGTCTCATCAGTCTTTAAGACACATTAATGTTCATGAGAGGGAGGGATATGGTTTTGTCTTTTGTTTTCTGCATGTATTTTTCCTTTGGCTTCATTTTAGGATACTGAAGAGAGTAGCTCTTCCACTCCTGCAACACAGTTTATCATGTTACCTTTGCCAGCTCATT